CTGCCGCACGTGAACGGTGTACACGTGAGTACCAGGCCGGTTTCAGACCTGGTCGAGGCTGTATTAACCGCTTTCCCGTGTCAAACCTGGTGACAAGTGACGCACAAAGTCTCGGTTCCAACGCAGTGAAAACCAAGACTTTGTTCGTCACTTGTCACCAGGTTTGACACGGGAAGGCGGTCCATTTCAATTCCGCAGAAAAGGAATTAACAGTATATAACTCTTCAAGGTACATTTTGTTATCTCACTGCTGACTTCAATAGTACCGAGTGATTATTGGCACCTCATCGAATGTCTACTGTTCTTGGCTGCTTGCGAGGAACACCGCAGTTGCGATTCGATGAGCAACCCACAGAGACATACAGATAATAAACACCAAGTTTCCTTCAATACACAATTGTAACTCTTGGTTGACTCTGAAATATCAAACACAACTAACCTGAATTACCTACTCCTAATTGTTCAGTAGTTGTTATCAATTTGGGAAATTCATCTTGATCAGTGTTCGATTANCTTGGCTACTCTCTTTCATGGGGTACGACCGTTCATTCTCAGAAGAGAATGTAAACCTTTTCCGGTCATATGACAAGGACAGATAGAATCCGTAACTGTCGGCTTCTTGACCTAATGGATGTGCAAGGCTCGATAACCTGAGGGAGGCAATCTTATCGATTGAGAACCGCGTTTTCATTGGGGCAAATGGAACGCAGTAACTTGAGCGCAGCTATCAGATAAAAGCATCGCACATTCTTATTTAATCGCTTTCTTTAGTGTGAATCTGATAAAAATTGATCCGAAATGAATAAGATGCAATTCAGCTATTGCTTTTGCACCAAGAGACTATGGCGAAGCATGTAGATTCGGTCATGGACCTTAAATGCAGATATATCTGAGCAGTGATTAAGTATATAGGTTGGCTTTGTTGCAGTTGTGAATAAGCAGAAAATCGAATTTCGGAGGGTACGTGGTATCCGAAGAACAACAAAACAGGGCTAAAACAAACAAATAGTACAGATTATATTCATGTGATTCCAATAAGACAAATAATAGTGATTGGGTAATCAGTGTGATTGACTTATGCCACTGTTTCATATTCTCTCATGAAATACCCTGGCACACAGCCGTTCTGATTGGTTGCTCCAATCAGTGAGTTTGTTCACACTGAGGTTATGTGATGTTGGTCATGAATGAGTCCCGGCTATTCAGTTTGAAATGTTTTTTAAGAGTACGTTTTTACGAAAGGCTAGCCCAACGAGGTTTGTACGGTTTATTCTTATAACTTCCGTAATAATGCCCGTCGCAGCGACCTGAATGCGCCACCCTTGGATTTATATATGTTACGTCATAGGGTGCTGTCGTGTCGGTGTTATCCAAACTAGTCTGTCTGCACCATTCACAAAAAGTTAGACCGTTGCCTGAAACATATGGTCAGACAGGTGAGTCAAAACATCCCATGCTCCATTGTTTGGGGCTAAATAACTGACGTGATGAGGACGGTCAACCCTGTCTGATCCGATTGTCCAACAGAAGTCGCATAGGATCGTAGACTGAATTCTTCATTCGCGATAGACTGATTGCTGTTTGACAAACCATTTGTGACGATCATCTCCCCCGCAATGGTGCTTATAAGTTAACCGTCATACAGGATACCTCATTTTATGCTAAATAATAATATATAATATAATATAATAATAATCGGATTACATATGGTCAAAAGTGCCCACTCCGGTTAGAAAGGTTAAACCGTGTTAGGAGTAAAAGCAAGCATTGTTTTGATTGTCTGTGATGGTCCCAGTATGCATTTTACGTTGTATCACTCAGGCGTGCTGTACTATTTGGTTGAAAGTGCACACAGCTTCGAGGAGTTATGGATCTTATTACAACCGTTCTTTATTGTTGAAATATCTCATTGATTGCAAACCAATACGTGTAATTCGTTTTATTTCGGCCCGGTGACTTCTCGATGCACAGTGTTTGACCCTCTTACAGCTGCGTTATTGTCCAATCGTTTACACAATCTATTCAACCCCGGGGACCTCGTTGACCACAGTAAGATGTCCATTTCATTGTCCCCCTGTTTCCATTTCTCGTTGCATCTAGCCATCTATCTGTTACGATCCATTTACTTCTTGATCGTTCGATTCCCGCCCGTGGCCGATTTTGCCAAAGCAGTCGATCTACGTGGCTGTATGTACGTTGTACTGAACGAGATTACCGATCCGAACAATGTGAGTATGTACCGGGCACGGTCGAAAGCAGATCAAACTCAGCTGCATCGGATAGTCCCCGCTACGGACCCTCCGAACGAAATTAGTCCGGACTATCTGATGGTCAAATTATTGATAGATTTTCTAAACAGTTGAATCTCGCGGTTACCGTGATGAGTTCATGTCTTCGAAAACAGTGGCGGGGTGGCGTGCACTTACCCCTTGCAAGTTGAGCGATATTCAATGTGTTACGCGGATTGAATCGTTTGAGTCACACACTTATGAACGTTCATTCAATCTCTGTTTCGACTGTGATTCGGTCAGTGCTGCTTCCGTCTGTCCGTGCGCAATGCAGCGCAGCGCAGCCCCAGGTGTCTGATACAGTATACAGTGAACAATTAATATCCGTGAACTAGATTTGGTCTGGAACATATTTATCCAAAGTATACTTTTACCGAATTTGTTTTCTTTGTGATCAGTTTCGGTATTATTTTCAGCATCATCCACATCATTTCGTTTTATGCCTGTTCACACCCCACTGCCTTTTCTCATTTCACCTGGTTTATTCTGTGTTGAATGACTACTTGAAACATATATGCTACATAAACGTATCTTTTAAGACCATACTGATGATGCTCTCTCACCTACTAAACGAAAAATATAATAGTAATAATAACACTATAATATGATAATCGGTGAAAGTCAGTTCAGCGTACGCCGGGGTCTGTCGACAAATTTCATATTCGATTGGTCGATTTGTGGACTAGTTTTAAACCCATAGACCAAGCAATAGTGTTTTGTATTTCTCTTTTGGGATCTCTTCTATTGTTGACGGTTTTAATCATGGAAAACAAATTGTATACAAAGCCTACAAACGTCTGCTCTAAGATGGCTAGTCATACCAAACCCCTCTAGAAATGTGCCCAAGTGAAAAAACATCTCAACTAGCTGCTGCTGAGAAAGTCCCACCCATTGTCTTGGCCAGGAGGCTTGTTTCCATTAAAGTGGGAAGACAAAAATGAGTGCCCAATTCGTTCCATCAGGTTGGTTGTCTGTTGGTGGTCATTCATCACGAGATAACATCTTGACGTGGTTTGGTGGCTTGCGTGCTACACAGGATGTCTTTTCACAGCCACAGATCCGACCACACCTGGAGTGGTTATAGGTGCAAGCCAGGAAAACTTCAGCATCACAAGACCATCTGTTTGGGCATCTGCTGGCTCCCTCTGATTATACAATCTTGCCCCTAGAGTGGCCGATGCGGCAAATAAATACGGAGAAGCAGTCCATCGATCAAATCCCTCACTATATGGACGTAGGAGAAGAGGGAGGGACATCTGGAGCTTCCTCTCGACGGTGAGAGAAGTCCTCGCACTTGATTAGGCAACAACCACCCGCCCAAGCTGTGCACGCCCCAGACAATAAGGTGTTGTCCCTTTCACGTTCCATCCGTCTTACTGGATGCATGAACCAAGGGCCGATCTCAAACAGCAAACATTCAATCCAAACGCCAGCTATCAACACTGAACGGAAATCCCAAAAAAGCCTTGAGTGTCTTGTCTCTAGAAGCTACCATACCGAGGCTTCGGTT